ACATGTCTATTAATGACTGGGTCTAGCTTATTGAAATTACCTACAATTTATCTGGCGTACCTGGCATAGTCAGGATTATACAACATAATTTTAGTAACAGGCTTTAATATTAATAACATTTTGGCAAATATTAATCAATTTCTAGAATTTTCCATTAGGTAATTATTTTCTTTTAGAAAATGATAATTGTTAACTGAGGCCACGCAGAAAAATTTATATTACTACAGGAATGATTATTCATTCGTGTTTTAACATTGGAGAAGAATGGAGTTATTATTGTGTACAGTATTTGATTTAAATCATTCATATTATTTCTTCTCTGGAAATAAAAAATAATATGAGAACAAACTTATAATTTATTTCTTCATATGATTTAGTTAAGTGATATGTTTTCTCTGTAAAATTGTAGTGCTCATAAAATATAATATTTTTGACAGAGACATTTGCCGGGAATATGAACCTCTAATTCTATTGATTTGTTTCAACAAAAGATTACTGATACAACAACACAATACAGGCCATCACAGGCACTACAGCATTAGAAGTAGTTAGGGCCTTTAACTAATTGTTTGGTTATTTTAAGATTTAAGTGACAAGATCTTAGTGTTTTCTTTCGATTTTACTTTGCGTTCAGGATAATTTGCTAAATTTTCACCACTTCTGTTTTAAGAGCATATTCTCATAACAGATTACACCAATAAACTTGAAAGATATACGGCACTGGAAAAGTATTTTATTAGATAAAAGAGGTTGCCCAGTATGCCAAAGACATTGTGTGTCGCTAATTCCGGAAAAGAAGTTCACTTAGAGTAAGCGAAAGAAAGGTAGTCAGAAGTGGTGTGCAATCAAAGACTATTTAAAAACCCCAAAGTAAAAGTTTACAAAATAGTAAACACTGAGAAAGAAATAGCATTTAAAGAGAATTTAGATGCAATTGAATCCACAGCAAGAAGAACATCAGATCATGTATACAATTTCAATGTAACATCAAATGATGTATAGTTTTTATTTATATGAAGCTGCGGTTTTGCTAATGTACCAATGTTACAGATATGTATGTTATTTCGTAATATAATTTTGTATCCAAATTTAGTTTAATGAAATATATCTTTGTTAATTCTTTGATTATGTGGCTATGAGACGAGTAAATGCATATACTTTCCATTCCATTCATAAATCAAGATTATTGCCAAGTTCACGTCAGTAACTGATTCGTTTCTGCCACGAAACATTGCATGGAGAACATTTGTAATTTAGAGATATCATTACCGCCCTAGAGGCTGTTTGGCCGAATTAGAGAAAGGGTAAATGCTGACAGGTAATGATAGTTCTCAATACAGAATAATATAAAGACGTCTTGTGATTCAGAAGTGTTGATTTGAAGCTTATATAGTGGCTACATAAAGTAATTAAATACGCAGCGTTTCATTGTTCGTTTATATTTCAAGTTTCTGAGAGTTACAAAAGGATTCAGATTTGAGTAGTGAAGGTTTAAATTCCAGAGCGCAAAACCATTTCTAAATAAACAGAACTCAATATTCAAGGAGTTTGATATCTATTTATTTGTTTTTTTGGAAAACGGTGAAACATTCAAGGGCATTTGTGATATTCTACTTTCATTGGATTTGCCTTAAAATAAAAACTTTGGGATATTAGATTACAGTTATATTCTGTGGTACTAGCACATAAGCACATTAAGCCTTCATTCGGAATATTTTTGATGGTTTTAAGGTTACAATAAAATTGATAGTAAACTTAAGAAATATAACTATTGATCCGATACTGTAAGTTATTTTTAATTATTTTACTTTGTTTGATTTTATATTTTATGGAAATTTGTTCATTTGTTGGAAAATTGAATGTTGGTTGGGTTTTACCTTTATTTCTTACTTAGTTTAATCTCTACAACGTAACATCACACACAGAAACTCTAAGGCTTGTTTGTTTTCATTTTCAGTTCGTATACAGTAACCATGGAACAGTAATATTGTGATCTTTGGTTATTGCTACCCTTAAAAAAATGACACCTATAACTATCAAATGAATAAAAAATGTGTTCTTTATTGTAATCTGTTAATACCATTTTATGATCATCCTCTTCCACTATGAAAGTGATTTAAGAAACATTAGAGAGTTATCGCATCTTCGCCATCCCTTTAAATTGCCGATTGCTGTACGGAGTGGTGCAGAAAAGGCAATTTTCTCAGACGTTTGATTATCTTCCATATGGCAGCGTGTGGGGTTCCAAAGAGTAGCAATCGGCGTATACCATATTACAGGAAGAAATTCGTGAAGAATCTATTTTGTTTGTAAAAGGCATTCCACGTGAAAAGCTAACACTTCGATTTTATACCAATTTATTTCACACCTGGTGCGAAGAAGTAGGCCCTGTCATTTGAGAATGTAACTAATACAACCCAATCAATTATTTAAAAACCAAAAACAATTTCAGTTCTATTTAAATATCATTCCACGCGACATCAGTTCAATCTTATCTTTGTACCAAAATGATTTGTACACTCCATGCCATATGTTGTTAAGAAAATGCACAAGTCAAATTTGCTACAAATTTGTTAGTAACGAGTCTCAAGGAAGTGTTACGATGGCTTAGTTTATCAGCTAGTCAAATTCTTAAAGGTATCACTCGCATCATACCACAACAATTTGAGATCATAAATCAGAAGCTGTAAACAGCCAAAAGGACGGTAGACTTCAAACAATTGTGATGGTGATAAGCAGAATTGTTCACACTCTCTGAAGCAGGGAAAAAAATGGCCAACAATAAAGCACCCTCTACAAAAAGAGTAGATACATCAGCCGTAAAAAGCGTGCTTTCCAGTAAACCACATCGCTCAATTACCGTTTCTCATGCACTGATACATCTTCTTCTTCTACATCTTCTGCGTTGGCAATAGTCTCTGACAAATATGGATTAAGACCTTACAAAACTTTTTCCAAAGGGACTTAGTTTCTCTTCGGTGATGACGTCTTCTATTGCTCAGACGGCTCTCATATTCCTGTATATGTGGCAAGACAAAAGTGCACAGCATAATAGGTGTATTACAACTTTTACTGGATTTATCATTATAAGAATTGTCACGAATTTGTCCATTGAAATCGCATTGGGTGATGCTCAAAGTGAAATTCATACGACCAGCTCACAGTGATGGGAGGTGAATTCCATTATAAATATATAAAAAGGAAATGTGTGATAAGATTCACATGAATGCTGAATAAATGAAGATTTCATCTTCAAGTGCATATTGACCTCAACAACTTAAGAAATAACCTTTCTCCAAAAAGTGAAATGGTACGCTCTGCTCGTTTAGGGATGTTTTCTCATTATTCACCAGATCCAATGTTCCTATGCAAAACCAAAGTATGCACAGACGAAAGCGAAGGAAAGTTTGTGTTACATGGATGCTATTTGCGACTTCTTTAGCAAAAAACCCCCACAAAATATACAAGTAAAATGAAAAATGAAGCAAGAATATATTGCCCTTAAAACTGGCAACTACTCCCTCTCCTGGGCCTCGTCGCAATCTAAACCATTACCACACGAATATTAACCAGTGCCATACGGATATCAACAAGTACTATAAGCATAAACACTTTAGCTAGCTTTAACAACAATCCTGTTCATATTGTTCGTTACGAAAGAATTTAAAACTGTGTCGTGTTGCTATAATCAGACCCAAACGTGCACGTTTGGAAGAGGAGTGGATGTACACATTATATTGAACAATTTGCAGAACATTTTCCAGTAGTCAATCAAAAGTTGCTGGCTTAGATCATGGCAAGTAGATTTACCCAATGTGTCTCATTTGGTGGTGTACAATTGTGTTTAGAAATAATTGGTCTGTTTCATCGTCGTGGGGTTGTCTCTTGGGTGCAGAGTTAGTGCCATCTTTAAATTTGGTTTCAACGAGATTTTCTTGACCAAGTCTGTCAAAATGATATGAAAAATGGAACATTCCATCTTTCAGCACTGGCAATAAAATTAGATAGTTTTTAGTAACGTTTCAATAGATTTCTGAATTAATAGAAGTGCAAATATTCTATTTTACAAGGCATTCTTACATACATCATAGAATAGCATATCTCCTCAAACATTATAAAACATTGTATCAACGAAGCATTGGATATACTCCAGAAATAGTGAGCCCTGAAAACGAAGTGACCGCGTATTTTGGATCAAATTGCTTGGAAATTCACCTACGAAAAAACAAAGAACGAAGTCTTACCTGCTGCAGAGTGCATTCGCACTGGAAACACCAAACGCGCTTTTAAGAATGGCAGTTTACCTGAAAATGGATAACATAATTGTTTCTTGTCACTGGAAAAGCTTAGTGGCAAAAAATCCAGAATCATCGAACCATCAATTTCATTTAATGTTTTCTAATGACAATTCTATAAATATATTTTTCAACAGAACATTTTGCTATATACGACCCTAATTATCTCAAGTAATACATTAGAATCACAAAGCTCATTCGGAAGTAGTCTCGATAGAAATAATGCATCTTTTGCAAGCCCTTCGTATCAAAGGAATTCAAAATACTGTCAATGTCGATATCCTCAAATAACAAATAAAAAAGGAATTGGACAAGAATGGTCTTCTCATTTACGAATTAAGAAACTGTCACTAACTATTCCTCATTTGACCAGTAAGATTTTATTTAGGAACGCATTTTAACGCTCGAAAAGATTGCAGCTATTTCGATAATTAGATCTGTGTACTAATCGAGTACCATGGATGTGTGCGTGTGATTTTAGATTTTTAACGTAGCTTTAACATTTTGTCAGTCATATCGAAACGATGTCTGCAGTGAGACAATTTATAGCAATGTCTAGCACTGGAGAATCATGCTGCAGACATTAGCAGGATGTCCCATCCAGTCACATTATCCCGACACCAGGACAACCAATCCTAACACTAACCACATAATGCTGAGCGCCAAGCGAGGCAGCTGTTAATACCATTTTAAATGTCTTTGGTATGACTTGACCGGGGTTACGAACCCGCGACCTTCCTTATCTGAGGCGGACGCTCTATCCACTAGGCCACTGGCGCGATCGAGTGCCACATAATTGTTAATCATATGAAAATATATTTTCTAACTTTTTGTAAAATTCAACAGATAATTGATTCAAAGAATATAAAGTAAAAATTTAAAAAAGAAAGTACAGTATTATGGACTAAACCCCATATAGTCCTAAACGTTCTATCCCCAGTCCAAACAAGCAACTTACTAATGTGCTAATTGCAAAAATTGTGGCGGTGTGGTAACAGTCTTTTGATGTATCACAATAATATAATTAAAACTGTCCTGACTAAATTCATTATAATTCTAAATTATTGTTTTAGTCCAAACATATTATTGAGCATATTTTAATTCCAGTGAATAATAATTGAAAAAAATAAATCCAAAATAAACGTAACTAAAAGACTCATTTTGCTTCAGATCTTATGACAGAAATGAATACTTTATAGATAAACAAGGTTATATTCTCTTCTACTTGATCTAGGTCGCAATTAAAAATTTTCCGAAAATAAATTGACAACTGATAGAAAATTCCCATTCTGGAAAATTGTAATATCAGAATCAAGAGTGTATTTTTAGCTGTAAATGAAATAAAGATGCTTACTAGTAATAATAAAATCTGAATATTGAATCCATATTGATTCACAAATATCAGTTATGTATTATATTGTTTACCAAATAATTCTCACTGGTCAGGTACATTATGGATTGATTTTGGATACAATCAAATACATATTACAGATGCACATAGCATATAATCTTTAAGAAAATATCCAGCAAACATATAAATTATATACATATATATATATATATATATATATATATATATATATATATATATATATATATATATATATATATATATATATATATATATATATATATATAAAAACACTAGACTAATAAAGAAAATGAAAGATACCTTCCTCTTAATTACCAATCATGCGTGACTAAAGATTATACAAGAAGTCTTATGAATAATATAAATACACATGAAGTAATATAATACTAAGTCCATCCAACAGAATCAGAAAAGAAATTTGATAATTTAAATATAGTTTATTGACCTAAAAGTGAGTTAATAAATTATCAAATTTACGTCAATGAGAACTTACAATTTGGACCTATCCGGTGTCCTAAGTGATTAAAGCGTTTGCGTCCGATGCGTAAGGTTGAGGGTTTTAATCCCGGACGAGTCATACCAATGACGCTCACCAATAAGTCGTTAATGCTAGTACTAGCAGTCCTTGAATAAGAATAACGTGATTGGGTGGAACACCATGCTACATATCTGCGGCATGATTCCCCTTCCTAGACATCAAAATAAACTGCTGTACTACAGATACTGTAGCGATATGACTCAAAATGTTATAGCTATGATACAATTTCAGAATCAAAACACATGCGTTTTCCAGTAATCTTTTGAGGTGTAGTTATAGACGATAACAGCCTTATTATAGATGATGACAGCATTGTTGTAGATGATTGCAGCATAGATGATAACAGCCTTGTTATAGATGATTACAGTATTGTTATAGATGATGACATCCTTGTTATAGATGAATAAAGCCTCGTCATAGATAACAACCTTGTTATAGATGATTACAGCATTGTTATAGATGATAACAACCTTATTATAGATGATTACAGCATTGTTATAGATGATAACAGCCAAGTTTTTGATGATTACAGCATTGTTATAGATGATAACAGCCTTGTTATAGACGAGTCAACCTTGTTAAATATGAGTACAGCCTTGTAATAAATGATTACAGCATTGTTATAGATGATGACAGCCTTGTTATAGATAATTATAGCATTGTTATAGATAATGACAGCCTTGTTTATAGACGATTACAGCATTGTTATAGATGATAACAGTCTTGTTATTAACTAGACAGCCTTGTTATAAATCAGCACAGCCTTGCTATAGATGATTACAGCATTGTTATAGATGGTAACAGCCTTATTATAGACGAGACAGCCTTGTTATGAATGATTACAGCATTGTTATAGATGATGAAAGCATTGTTATAGAGGATGACAGACTTAATATAAGCGTAACAGTTTTTTTGACCAGAGATAAGCATCTTCAAAAAAACTTAGCAAAGTACAAGGATAACCTTTTATTCCATATGGCATTACTTTATAAAGGGCATATGGACTTATGAATGCTAAAGTTTCCTTTGCCTTTATTTTATTTAGCATGTGCAAAAGATGAAAAATTGGGACATATTTTGTATTTCTAATGTTGCTAAGACATTTATCAACTCTTGATAATAAAAATATATATGCTTTCTGTAGTCGCATCATATGCGGAAATTTTTATCTGATTTTGATACAGGTATAAATGGTGAACCAGTCACTTTTACTCGGATCTATGAAACCATTGTTCAGCTAATACTGAACTTATTTTTCTTCCACATTCCTTTTAGAAAGACTTCATCCTGTATGAATGATATTTCTCAGTTATGGAATCTATATCATGATAGATTTAATTCGTTTGTGTTGAAACAAATTGAGTCAAGTTCTCATAGTCAAATAATAGCTGTTTCAATTCACCTTTCCTTTTTGGATGATGATGTGAAATTTGTTGGGCTAGATAATTAAATATTTATGAATATCGAAGATTTGTTCCGCCAAAGTTGATGTAGTCCAATTTTATTCCATCACTTTAATTTTCATACTTTTGGACAGGTATAACTAAGTGGACCGCATGATCAACAGAGCTATCACGATCAACATTCTCGTTTAACATATTTGTTGTGGTAAACGTGTTTTGCTCTCGCTTGAAATGTATTAATAATAAAATAATATATTTTTTTCCGCTGTATACTGCCCAGATTACTGAGACTGAAGAGGGCTTTTGAGGCATGATCTAGAGAGCCAGAACGGCAAGACCATTTTCTTATATTGCTATCATACCTTAAGTTCATTTTCGACCTTTTCATAGGTAAAGGTGCATTGTAGTCGATTATTGTTCTGTTAAATGGTTTATCAAATATCAATAGTTTCCGAAAAAAAACCCTTAGGTCACATCTGATTGCGTTTTTATACTATCTGACAAGTGTAAAATATATGCACTTTTAATATTCACCAATAAAGGTTTCTAGATCTATGATACGTTTTACTGAATGACTAGCCAATGGAGTTTCATAATTTATTTCCTTATAAAAGCAAGGAAAAAATGAGAAAAATGACTTATGGTTTACAAATCAAATTAAAAATATAAATCCAAGTATTAAAAAATAGAAGTCCTATAAATAGAAAGTCCAAAGTGAATCACAGTTCAAATCCCGATGAAATTAAAGATGTGGGGCAATAACGTGTGCCAAAATCTTCAAGGTGTTGTTGTCTCAACAGTTCCTTTGTTGACCCACAGAAAATAATATTCCAGTTTGGAATTTTGAATAAATTTCAATAAATGTTTTACTCCAAGAATTCTGCATGACCACTAGTATTTTCCAGGGAAAGAATCACAAATTCCATAAAAAAAATCAACTCAAAGATGCCACAGCAAAAGACATTAAGTGTCAAAGATTTAAAGTCCAACTGGCTTATTCTTATTTTAAAAATGATTGATACAGAAAATTAAGACGCAAAACAGATTCCGGAACAAGATAACGTAGTCACTTTCCAGAATATCCTAGAAACGTTTACATGCCTAATGTCACGTACGTCAGTATAAACTTACTTAAAATTAATAATTTTACTCTGGGGAAAAACAATTTTAAAAAGCGTTTACCACAAACTCATACTAGTTCTGATTCTAGATGAACAACTAGAAACAATGAAACAATTACTAGTTTTTCATCAGGTCAACCTCTTCCAAAAGAAAACAAAATCTAGTAGACAATGTTATCATTAAAATTACATGCAAAAGGATTCAAAATTATCAAACAAATACTTAAATTGTATATATATATATATATATATATATATATATATATATATATATATATATATATATATATATATATATTCACAGTCACAACCGTATAGTTCATTACAGGCACAACCACATCGTCATTTACAGTCACAACCACATCGTCATTTACAATCACAACCACATCGTACTTTACAGTCACAACCACATCGTCCTATACAGTCTAAACCACATCGTCCTACACAATCACAACCACATCGTCCTTTACAGTCACAACCACATCGTCCTATACAATCACAACCACATCTTCCAATACAGTCACAACCACATGGTCTTTTATATTCACAACCAAATCGTCCTATACAGTCACAACCACATCGTCCTTTACAGTCACAATGAATTCGTCATATTCAGTCACAACCACCTCGTCCTATACAGTCACAACCACATCGTACTTTACTGTCACAATCAAATCGTCCTATACAGTCAGAACCACATCGTCCTATACAGTCACAACTAATTCGTCATTTACAGTGATATCCATATCGTCATTTAAAAACACAATCATTCAAAGCATATTCGAACAATGTAAAGCCCCATTCCATCAAGCCCCACTTTTAAGAAAGTACATTCAAGCAATGTAAAGCCCCATTGGATCAAGCCCCACTTTACAAGAGAACACATTCAAAAAATGTAAAGCCCCATTCCATGAAGCCCCACTTTACAAGATAGTATATTCAATCAAGGTTTAGCCCCATTACATCAAACCCCACTTTATAAGACCTTACATTCAATGTAAATCCCCATTACAACAAGCGCCTCTTTACAAGACAATACATTCAACTAAGGTAAAGTCCCATTCCATGAAGCCCCACTTTACAAGACAGCACATTCATACAATGTAAAGCCCAATTACATTAAGACTCACTTTACAAGACATTACATTCAATCAATGCAAAGCCCCATTCCATGAAGCCTCACTTTACAAGACAGTCCATTCAATCAATGTAAAGCTTCATTCCATGAAGCCCCACTTTACAAGCCAGTACATTCAATCAATGTAAAGCGCCATTCCGTCAAGCAGCCCTTTGCAAGACCGTACATTCAATCAATGTAAAGCCCAATTCCATCAAGCCC